GGGGGGGGGGAAACGATCCTAGGGGTGAAAATAAATATCTCAGAGAAATCTTGAATGTTTTGCACAGGAAAAGTTCAATCGTTTGTTACAGTTATATAATCATACTTTAATTATTAAATAATATAGTTTATAATTTTATTTTAATTATCAAATAATTATATGCACGAATACGATTTCAGTAGTAGCCAGAAGTCAGTCCAGTGGTTATTCCTCAAATTTTCAAGTACCAGGAAGTGTGTCGAACGGTGAAGGATCTTTGTTAAACGCGAGACACTTAAATTTCGCGGAAATTTTTGGTAGGATCGATCGTTTACGTAACGAGATCGCGTTCACCGCAAAATATAATATTATGTTACGTTGCAGACGTGAAACGCAGCGGAGCGTTAGTTGAACTCGTTCCTTCTCTCAATTCATGAATATTCCTCGTTATAACCTACAAAGGCGTCTCATCGTGTTAGAAATGCAAAGGTCGCCTTGTTAATGAGGTCTGAATCTCCAACTTTTCAAATTTCAGTACAATTTTTCCTTCTAATTGAGGAAGTCGTGCCACCCTATGCCAGTTTCGAATCACCATTTAATGGTGGACGAGGATCATTTTCTCAAATAATATCCACGAGCGCGATCTCTTCGAATAAAATTGGGACGAGCCTCTGCAAAATCATCGTTACTCGTTACCTTTCCTTCTACGTTCTGTTTTTATACCAGTTTCTCAAACAATGTCCACGAACAAATTTTTTTTTTGAATAGAATCAAAGACGTTTGTAACACCATCGTTTTTATCAAGATTTGTTGTTTCCTCTTCGCCAGTTTAGAATTGCGATTTCATGGTTAATTACATTAATAAACTGAAAGAGATCTCTGTAAAGTCGTTACTCGTAATTTACTATGACTTGTTTTCTTTTTTCTACGTGTGATTTTACACCGGAATGAAATTGGAACAAATCTTTGTAACATCATCGCTTATAGTTTACCGGGATTTAAATTCGTTCCCTTTTCTCTACTCTAGCTTCTAATTTATTCCAGGTTTATTAATTATATTCCCTGCTACAATTAATTATATTAATTATTATTCCCTGCTACCTTACATTAATTTAATAAACTCACGTTCTAATGCGTGAGAATCGGTTTCAACATCAACGATATCAACAATATTTAATATTAAATGTTTTTTAATATTTCTCGATTTCTTCGAATAAAAGAACCATGAGAAGTTCACCTCTTGCTTTACAATATCGAGTAATGCTCGTTAAAGCTTCGATTCGAGGCGAAAAGCCAATTATAAACCTACGGAATTTCAATCGGCAAACAAAAATTGTACACAATGTTTGTATACATACTTTGCATGAAAAGTAACGTTACAATTTCGAGAGACGATGCTTACGATTACAAAAAGTTAAAAAGAGAATCGTGAGGTAGCTATCAGCTACTTATTCGATGATCTTTCTGACGAAGCGTGCATCTGCTCGAGCGGTTAAATAACGAGGCGAAGAAATCGGGAGACAAACGCGGGTTAACGAGGTCGTATCGCAGGCCGGCAGTCCGTCTGTTGCTCGAGCGTTATCGCAAAACACGTGTACCCGATACCTGAGCAGCCTGACAATCGTTTCCCATGGTGTAGAGAAACGGACGGCACGGCCCCGTTAACCGGGGGCCGACACCTCGAAAAAGTAGCCCCAAAATACGCGGAACCGTCGCAGCCCGGGCTTGCCCTCGCCTCTCTCGTGCATACTCCACTTCCTCTTGCCCGTTCCTGGGGGCGACCATATGTCGACCGCGAGTAAGGATGCCGACGGGTGGTTTTTCGTCTCGCGGGATGGCCCGGTATCTCTTGTTTTGCCCGGTTGCGCCAGAACTCGACGCGACTCGAACAAGCCACTCGAGTGCCCTCCTTGAGGCTTGATTCCCCGAAATTTTTCGCTTCCGCGAGATGACTGGTCAAATGGCAAATAGTTCCCACTTACGACGCGTATTTGTTGTTTCTTTTTTTTTTAATTTGTCACTCGAGCGGATCACTTTAGAAATAGAATTACAAAGCGTCGACAAATTATCTGCAAAAGTTCTCTCTTGTTTGCATTGTAATGGGAAATAAAATACAAATTTTGTGCGTTTCTTTCATATATACATTTTTCCTATTAATTTCTAAGAGTAAAGTTGTTCAATTGTCCTGCGAGGCATTCAATCATTCTTTATTGTGGTGTTTCGTTTTATCGAAGTTTGAGAGTTTTGATAAAGAAAAACGCACGAACTTATGATTTACCTTAGTAATATTCTTTATTGGACTTGTATTTGTTAATTGCGAATTGCAAATAACGATTGTTTAATGCATAATACAGCTAGCTATTCGTCTAATAAAAGCAGTATTTCCTCTCTGAAATTCATTTTAATACCAAAATGATTCATCTACGTTAGACGTTAAACTCAATTGTTGTCGCAACATAATATTACACATTTGTTTAATTTAAACAGACCACATCACAACCACATAATAATGGTTCTACACTCGATGGAGTCAACCACATACTTACCACGTTTCAGTGGTTACTCGAGATCTGTATCTACGATGAAAAGCCATTAGTTTAATACTAAAATGTATTTCGAATGGAAACGACCGTCGTTGCATTTTATTATTTATAAATGCATAAATTATATTATTTATAAATAATAAAATTATATAATTATTATAAATTATAAATTATTTATGATTCGCGAGTAATCAATGTGCACGAGTGGCGTACAAACTGCGGACTTTTATGCATTTATGCAAAATTTGAAAACACAGAAATGCAGAGAATGTACGCAGTGTGCAAAAGTGTATATAAAACATCGAAAGTGGAGTATTCGTTGGAAAATTTTCCGAGTTTCAAATCGAGCACGAACTTTCTCGCAGCCGTCCAAGTATATAAAATAATTGTTTACCTGCGCTTCATCTTGTTTTAAATTCTACTCGCGAAAAGATGAATCTGCACTAAGATCCGCAGAATCTTCGATATAGTTCTAAAGTGATCAGATCAAACAATAGCTCACAATCATGCATATATCACATCCAGCTTCTATTTTATTTTATTTTATTTTATTTTTTTCAGGCTCGAGTTTCGGAGTGTGGGGCCGCAGAATGAGCAAGAAGATAGACTCGTTCCGGCGGGCTGGTTCCCGCGAAACGATCTGCTCCATTTCCGAGAGGTCGGACCAAGGGAACGCCAGCAGCAACAACGCTAACGGCGTTAGCAATCTCGCCGGAACCGGCAACAACAACGTCGCCCCGAAAACGGACAAGCCAGTGGCTGACTCGAAGTTCGACAGCAAGCCAGAAAAGAGGACACCGGGAACGTTTCACAGGTCTCCCTCGCCGTTCAAGTCCTTCTTCATCCGTATGGGTTCCACGGGGATGCTGAATTCGGCCAGGGGCAACCGACGCTCGCAGAACGTCGACGACAGACTGAAGACTACCGAGAAGGAGACTCTCTTCAGAAGCTGCAGCACGAGCCAATTGAACACCAGCCCGACTTACGTGAAGGGTGACGACCCTTCGGAAGGGATCGACCTGCAGATCTCGAGCCGCAAGGACAAAACCGTGTCCTGCGACAATCTGGCCGGTCGTCAGAGCGACGACGCGTTCGACGAGCACGTCGGCGACGCTTCCGCGGGTCTGTACCCACTTGGCAACCCCGCGTCGATCACCAGTTTCAGCCCTTGCGACTTTGGACAGTCGCGGAACGAGTCGCCGATGCGCAAGAGCAGCAGCTGCGACTTCAAGGAGGCGAAGAAGTCCAGCTTCCCGTACGCTTTCCTGCGATCGAAGCTCTCCGTCCTGCCGGAGGAACGTCACGGCACGTTCGCCGCGAAGGACGAACGGTTGTTCAAAACCGCGTCCGAGGAGCACTTCCCCGCTTTGAAGATCGAGGAAACGTACACGGGAACGACGACGCTGGGACGGCGACGAACCAGGAACGGGAACTTGGTCGGCAGAGGGAGCGCGAGCAAGTCTCAGGAACAGTCAGCTACTTCCGCCTCGAAACCCGGACGAAGCTCGTACGCAGAGTTTCGAAAGAGCTCGGCCAGATGTCCGAGCGAGGACACCCGGTACGCGCTGACACCCGGCCACTTGGAGAGGATCGACGACAACTTCCAGCAAGAGGACGCAGGAAGTTGCTACAGCCCGTACGACAGCAGCCCGATGTCGCTGCGTGGCAACGCGAGCGTTCAACACCCGACAGCAACGCTCGAGGGTGGACAGGACAGAGTGGACTTTGCGGGAAGGATCAACGAGTCGAGATTCTCCGAGACGTCCTCGTTGAACGTGGACCTGGACATGGTGGCCACGCTGAGGAACCACCGGCGAAACTCGGCGCCGAGCGGCGAGCAGAGGCTCTCCTCTCACTATGTCAGCTCGAACGAGTCCGGCTACGACAGCGACGGCCCGAGGGGAGAGTCTGCCGCCGCTTCGGAGAACGAGGGCGTGAGCTTGAAGTGCACGGACAGCTCGGACACGAGCAGCGTGATCGACTCGGAACTGGAGAAGCCGATACGAAGCTCGACGCCGAGCGAGTGCCAAGAGCAAGAGAACGGCAACGACACGAGGACGAGGAAAAACGACGAGACGACGACGAACGCCTCGGTGAGGACCGGCGCCTCCGAGTTGAACGACGGCATAGACGGGCTCAGGTGGCATCAGAGCAATTCGGGACGGTTGCTGCCGAGCATACATCAGACGTACGATGACGCGGCGATGAGTTCTCAGTTCCCCGTGTGCGGGAACAACGGGCTGAGAACGTTGCAGAGCGCGTCGAAATCGTTGGACATCTCGCCGCATCGAATGAGACTGCAGCAGGACAAGAGCAGGTTTCTCAGTGACATTATTCAACCGCCGAAGAGAGTGAGGAGATGCAGGCTGGTTCAGCTGCACAAGAGAGACCCGAAGGAAAGTTTGGGCATCCGGTTGGCGCAACAACGCCTAGGCGAGCTGCGGTACATCGTCGTTCAGTTGGAGAGCGACGGGATAGCGCATAGGTAAGTTTGAACGTCGTGCGAGGCAGTTTGAAGAAGTTGTGCAGCGGATTAGAGCGTCGAGGAGGTTCGCAGTAGAGATTCGCAGCATTGTTCGATAAAGTGAAATCTTGTTAGAAAGCACGTAGGTGTGAGAGGTTTTAATATAATTCCATATGATATTTCTTCATCGTACATACGAGTCTCTAGAATTTTCCAGATCATTCAAAAATTTTTGTGTCTTAAATACAAAACCTATAAACCTATAGAATTCAATCCATTAATCCGTGTAACTTTCGCGCAGCAGGCACATTCGAGATTCATTTCATTGTAAATTTCGTCGAGTTCGTGTATTTCACTGTAATACACGGTTTTCTAGTGAAGTTCAATGTTAACAGAGACGGAAGGCTAAGGCTCGGCGACGAGATCGTCGAGGTGGAGGGCAAAGAGCTGAAGACACTGGAGAACCTTGAGGAGGTGCAGGAGTTTCTTAGATCGTTCACCGGCAACAAGATTCGCCTGATGACCGCGTACGAGGAGACGGTGCCGCAGGTGTACGTCAGCCCGCCGACCTTACCCGGCGAATACGAGTACCTGGAGAACGCGAAGAACCTCTCCGATTTGTCGTTGATCGACGACAACGGAGCCAAGCAGACCGTCGGACCGCAGTCTGATCAAGCGTCGAGCAAACCCAGCGCGGACGAGAGCGTTCAATCGACGAAGAGGCCAGACTTTCTGCCGCTCTCCTGCATGTCGAAGGAACGAAAGGCGGCGGAAAGTAACTTGGAATCGACGACGGAGCCGCAGCATTACTTGACCAGGCATATCGCCAAGTTCGAGAAGGGTTACGGCAAGCCCAGCCTCGGTTTCAGCGTGGTAGGCGGCAGGGACAGCCCTCGCGGTGAAATGGGTATCTTCGTGAGGAGGGTTTTCCCCGGTGGCCAAGCTGACGTCTCCAAGTCGCTGTTCCAAGGTAAGACAAAGTAGTCCAACGAGTTTAGAATCGGCGATTATATCGATGTGTTACACATGCGTCCGAGAATCGTGGAACTTTTATCGGAGAGCAGTTCGACGAAGTTTGAATTATCGATATCGGCTTTCGTTGCTCATCCATTTGCATCGCGACGGCTGAATGTTTTACGAGTAGTTTTGTACCATCGGACCTAATTATATTATTAAACATTAAATTATATTATTAAACAATAATTATACTATTGATAATGTTTGAATTAAGTTCTCAATTTTTGACAGACTTTCTGACATTTCATTGCAACTGATTAAAATTAATGGAGAATGACGGAACCGAGATAATTTGATGAATCGAAATAAATAAATAAATAGACAAATGAATCATTAATTTTGCACGTTCTAATATATCTGACTCTACGCGTCTACCAAAAACCATCCGATCGACAGTGATCAGACGTATCGATCGCAGTAATAGTTGACGACGGTTCTCGAGGATCTATCGAGAATTTCTCGACATTCCTTTTACGGATTTGAGTACGCGGCGGCGTGCAATCTCTCACGTTACCATTCCTTCGCGACAGTGACGCAATGGATCGCAGATTCCTCGGACGCGGATCGCGCAAGGATTTCGCTCCATCGGCTGTTTCAGGATCGACGGTGTGGCTCGAGCGTGTCGACGTGTCACGTACATACCAACTTATGTAGCCCGCTCGTTTCTCGTGCATTCACGCCGTGGACGCGTCGGACACACCACGAATCTTTAATCCGACGCTTGACGTCGCGTGCATTTCTAAACAGTTCTCTCACCTCTTCTTGTCGCCCCCGCCCTCTCCCCGACTCCTCTGCCTTTCCTTCGTTGTTCTTTCTCTCCTCTCTGCCTTCTGCCAACCTCCTTTCTTTCCCCGCCTTTTGCAGCAGCCAGTGCCACTGGATTTCGCTCGGCAAACCTCGTCAGCTTTGTGTCAACTTGGGGTCCTTTCCGTTGCTCTCTTCGAGCGAGCTAAATGGCACTCTGACAGCAGTACGTCCGTTTTCTAGGACGCGGGGAAACAAGGCTGCCAGTTGGATCGATTCGGAGATTCCGACGCAGTCAGGGATTTAATGATTTTAACGACGTGAAACGATCGTGCTCGCCAGTGATTTCCCTTTGAGTTGTTTTTACTGGATCGCAAAACTATTCGGAAACTCAAGTATTATAACTCTGTTATGATTCCTTGTATAGTAATTTTGTACTGAATCGTGCGATCCATTCATTTGAAGCCTTTTCTTTGACAGATCATTTCAAAGCTATAATAATAATAATATTATCTTCGAAAAAAACATGTAGCGAATATGGGGGTAATTGTAAAAAACTTCCGTATAATTTACCACGTGAAAAATCAAAGTTTTCCCCTTTAAAACAACTGCTTTTTTCTTCTTGTTATTTCACGCAACTTTGAGTTGAATGTTTTGGTAATAATTAAACATTACTACATTAGAATGTGTTTCCTTTGATTGATTGAAAATCTCGCTTTAATACGGAGGATAAGGAGAATTGGAAAAATTATTTGATCATTACTCCCATGTACAGATGAAAAATAAAACCAAATTAGAAAACGAAGGTCTAAATTGATTTTCTCAAATAAAATATGACGGTGACATAAAATTATGAATAATCCCAATGACCATTAAATCCCAATTCATCGATCTAACAATCAATCGCTACCAAACCCAAATACAATGGAATTCAACCCATAAAATGTTATTAAATTCAATCAAATGTAAGAGGGAAGCATAAAGCTTCTTTTCAGACACTTTTCTCTAGAGGAAGGAGAGAGTGGCGCGTCGTCAACGTCGAGTCGAATTTCGCGGGCACGCGTGTCGTCCTCGTCTCCTACGCGATTTTTTTCCAAGCTGCCGTCGCGGTAGGCGACAACACGTTCTACAGACAGGTTTCACGCAAGCGCGTTTCGAGTTTCAACCGATCCGAACACTTTTTTTCCCCGAGCACGCGAACATCCGTGGTTTCCTCGTGCCACTGCACCCTGCCGCATGCTTGCATAACGGAACGGCGGTCGTGTCAGTTGCATAAGCGCAGGATCGATGCATCGCCGACTGTTGCCAAAAGGCTAAGCGCCTCTCCGGACGATAGAAACGTTCGAAGTTCCAGTCGAACGACATTTTCTGTCTTGGATAGTTTTGTTATAATAATAGTAACACACACGGCGATTTTATTTGTACGTATAGTATGAGCTGGTATTTATTAAATTCTAGAATTGGACTAACTAACCATTCACATCTTCTTTCATTACTTCTCACTTGGATAGTCTAACATTTTTATTTACATCTTTATTCAATTATATGTTTTATATATTTGTGCTTCCTGTTTTCTAAATCCAGTTTAAAGTCTCTTAGTTTATATTTATGATTTTCACCGTCTCATCTCTTCTATTATTTTCTTTCTCATTTTCTCTCCTTCATTTTTTCTATCCAGTATATTATTTAATGGTGTATGCAAAATTTTTCTTTTATCGAATATTTTTGCCTTTTAAGCTTTATTCTAGTATATAATAATTGATGAGAGAAACACATTCACAGACATTATTGTTATACTTTGTATTATTAGTTTTACTAACATATGTTCATTTTATAATTTCACAATTGTTCTCCTTCCAATACTCCAATGAATTCATCACCGCTGTTCAAGAGTTAAACGATAGTTTAAATACACAGAAAGTGAAAGGAGTATAAGTGTTTGACCAACACGATGCTCAAATTCTTGTTTCAGGTGACGAAATTGTAAGTTTAAATGGAAAGGTACTGCGTGGCTACACACATCAAGAGGTAATCGAATTGTTTAAAGCAGTGAGAGAGGGCCCTGTCGAGTTGGAAATCACAAGGAGGCACAGGTAAATCCGTAAAAATTACTATCCACATCATTGATCTAAATTTTTTTTTTTTTTAGCGGTTAATTTAGCGAGCCTAAATGCTTATGAAATAAATTGTTCTACGGAGAGTATAACATAACATTTATTTCAGGTATCCAAAAAGTACGCAAAAATCCGCGCCGTGCTGAGAAGAAGGCAACAATGTGGACGAGTCTGCCCACCGGAAGTGCTCTTTTTCCATTCAATTCTAAGCGACACAGCTCTCGCCGCATACGAAGTTTTAGGATTCTAGTCTATCAGAACGAATCTTTGATCTTTGACGTTTGTTTCAATTAATTTATTTACCGCAGTTGCGTGGGAAATAAGTTCATTATCGAACGATTATTATTATTATTATTATTATTTTTATTATTATTATTATTAATATTATTGATTACTATCGACGATTATTATTATATAATTTTTATTATTACATTACATTATATTATATTATATTATTATCATGACTATAAGATTTTATACAAATACGTTACAGTAGCGTGAATTTATTGTATTCAACTTCTTTTATTATTATTATTATTATTATTATTATTTTTGTTATTATTATTAGTATTAGTATTATAGAGAACAATAAAGAGGTCGTAATTTTAAGGTGCTTGAGGATGTGTTTTGCGTAAATACATACAACGATCGACGAAGTAATTTCTCAACGATTATTAAATAATAATTTTTATTTGCAAGATACTTTACAAATTTACAAATATGTACAGGAATTCATTTTTACAGCGGTCGCGGATTGTGTCTCTTTCTCGTTTTCACAATCTCGTCTCGTACAGCTTCTCTTCACGCGTCGACGAGCAAAAGGTCTGCGCACGACTTAGCCTTCGTTGCCCTGAAAAAAAAGATCACGTCGGGAATTATATTTGGGATACTATTTTTAGTCTCGAAGTGTACTGCATTTTCCACGATTATGGAATTAATGTACATCGTGCTGATTGTGGGAGAAATTAGGCTCGATCATTATCGTTAAGTAATCGTCAAAATCGCTACATGTTTGAAATATTTCACGAGATTTAGTGAGAAAATGTATATTTATAAAAGAAGATAGTATTTTGAAAATTTATGGGGAAAGTGTTACATGAACGTTTTTTTTTTTAATTGCTCACGAAAATATTCGAACACCTAATGGGAATCTTTATGAATAGACTATGTGTATTGCATGAAACATTTTGAAATTTTATTAACATTTTAGTGAGACCCAACTATCATGATTATATTGATCAAGTTTGAAACACGTCTGAAAGTATACATAGAAATTGCAAAATATTTATAAGTATATACTTCGTAGAGATCACAAAATATTTAAACAATCATATTAGTAAACTATGACATTCAATAGAGCCATCTTTAACACTTGCTATATGCTTAAAATAGCCATAATATTTTACTAGATATACGTTTGCAATAAATATCTTGTAACTTCTGTATTCATCACGAAATTAGTTTTAAATTGTGTCAATATAATTACAGTCCTTTCTTAGTTACAATATTAATGAAATTTCAAAATATAACACACATACAAAATATGTATATATATTTTCGTGAGTCACTGACATGAGATATTTCTTGTTCTCCGATGCGAAAGAATTGAAGAATCATGCATTTCCTTGGCATTAGAATTTAATTCTAATTCCGTTGTTATTTTAAAACGAAAATTTTAAAATAAATTGCTCATTTTGAGCCCATTTTTACACAATCAGCACAATTGTACTAAAGATAGAAATATCAAATTAATTTTATCAATTTTCCTTTTCTTTTATACGATCAACTAATTAATACTAATACATCTTAGTATAATAATGCATTACACGATAATGCATTAACACTGGTACTAGAAGACATCTGACAAATAATCGTAAGAAGCTGTGCGCAACAATGCAAACACTGTCATACTCACTGTAGTTCCTTGTTTTTAACGCGTCTACAAAGATGCAAGGCAACCGGTCCAGTTTTGATGTTACGAAATAGCTGAACGGCTTTTCGGTGGGTCAAGTCGTGACAGACGTGGCCATTCACTGCCAATATCTCGTCACCTGCGCGCAAACGGCCATCTTCCGCGGCTTGCCCTCCCGGCAATACCGATTTTATAAAGATACCTGTGACAAACATATTGTACGACGATATTAATACAACGATATTATATACGATATTATATACGAACGCGAAGAGCGACGGAAACACTATTAACGCGCATGACATTGAATTATTTACTCGCAGACAATAGATAAATAACGAAACGAGCATACGAAACTCAATACTGTTAATATGATAAAAATGTAACGGCACTTTTATAATTCATAGTAAACATTTAGGCAAATTTATATATATATATATATTTCGTTCGTGTTCTCTGTGAGGATCTAAACTTGCTCAAAATTGTAAATATCAGACATTCGATCCCTGATGAGCTGAATTTAATTCAACTGTTGCTGCGTTTTTTCTTCTTGCGAAAATTACTGAGATGTCTCCACGAATTTCACACATCTGTCGACAGTTTTCAAAAAAAGAATATGTATACTTTGCGATAATAATTGATTTTTGCATTTTTGTCGATCCGTTCCTTTTAAACAGTAAAGTGAAGCATGAAAACGTTATAAAAATTTCCCCAATTTTCACCTACAATTCGTGAAACATATTAATTAAAGACAA